AGTAGACTTAAAAGTGACCCCAACCTATTTGGGAAAAAAGTTTGAGGAAATTTTTTTTTTTCTATAGCAATATTCAAAGTAGTCTCTTGAAAATAATGCAAAAGGTTTAGAACGCCCGTAACGTCTTATTAGTATAGTTAAGGTTAAAAAAAAGGTGTTTTTTAAATCATAACTTATACAAATTGGCCCTTATTTTAAACACTCATGCTGGCACTTTTCCGCATGTCAAATACCTTGTAATAAAGTAGCGAGTTTATGGTGCCCCTTCAGATTTCAAGTGGGATCGTTCTTAACAATTTGTTAGCGAAATGTTTAGCTGAATAGCATAAAACCTCTTACAGTGTATAGGTACGGCAAAAGTGCTTTCACACGAACATTTTTGTGTGAAATGTATAAATTATGTACCTAATGAATTTTTAACGGACAGGTACATTGAAGAAAGATGAGTTCTTGATTTGTGATCAAACATTTTCAATATAATTCATAGCAGGTACTACCAAATGGATTTAACTGTATAACTTAACACTTCTTACACATGGCCGTCTGCTCCCACACTAGACAGAGCTTGTACTATAGTAAACAGATTACTGATAAACATACAAAGGTAGATATTTCTAAATACATATATATTAGGTATATATAAATTACACCCAGACAAGAGACAAATGATCGTGCTCATCACACAATTATTTGTCCTCGGTTGAAATCGAACCCATGACCTCCGAATTCCAAAATATTTTTCAATATGAGTGTAAACTACATACATTCAAGTACAATACAAGTTTATGTATGTCATATAAACACAGCAAAATCTTAAATAACTAACGAACCACGAACACACACAAATTTTGCTATTCACAAACATTTAATACGCAACAATAGCTATCTATTCATGTATTTGGTTTCGGGCTGAAACAATTTCATGAAAACATGTTACTACACGAAAATCTTTGTTTTCCCGAATAATTTACCTTAATTACAATTTAAACAAATTTCGTGAACAAATTAGTCTTCATGAAAACTATTTATCTGTTATACTTTCACTTCTGTAAAACACAACTTTTATGAACTTTTTGAAGCGGTAACACGCAGCTTACCCAAACCTAAAATATTAATGAGTAACAACTAGTGGCATCTAGTGTCCAATAGCACAATTACAATAGGTTGCATATGACGCCATCTGTTAAACTTACAATTTTTTAAACTGTGGCCATTTAAACTTTATACTAAAACATTTTAGTTCAGTCGTTGACTGATAGGTGGCGTTAAATCACGTTTATGTACTTTACAGAGATTTAGTACAGAAAAAAAAGTAGTTACCATTCTTAAATTATTTAATAAATGTTTCTAAAGATTTGGTCACACTGAGTCAACAGTATTTCAAAAATGCATTACAGACTATTTTTTTTATTTTAGCAACTGTAAAAGCTTCAGTAGCGGCATTTCATAATAAAAAACAATGGGCAAAAATTGATCAAAACTGTTTACTGCTAAAACTAAATACTTTTTAAACATCTCTTAACTGCACAAGTCAGGCTTTCCGACTACCTCGTGCAAGGACTAGGCCAGGCCAGGACTTGGACAAGGCCACATGATGGCCATGTGTAGCCATGTGTGTGTCCTACTTGGTTCGAGTATTGACTAGTATGGACATAAAATCTCTTTCTAAAGGAAACCGAGAATGATTTACGGTAAAAGAGGCACAACGATAAAGTGACATTAAAATTATGAAAATTAAAGAAAGTTACACACTCCTCACACAACAATCTCGTCGTCCAAATCCAAATATATAACCTGTTTTTTAGAGCAACATCTTTTTCAGCTTTTAAGAGATTGTCGTCATGTGGAATGGTAATATCAACAATCGTTGCTCGGCACTTTATCCGATTTATTGGTAACAATTATATTATCCTTTTTTTTTTCCATGCGGAAATCCCCTCGGATACCACCTATCGGTGGCATGTCGGACTCGAACCGACTAAAACTGCACGCCGTCTCGGGTACTAATAGCCGGGGAATCAGGTATACCCTAGAAAGGAAGTCCCTGGTGCAACAATTATAGTCCTGGCAGAGATTAATGATAATAAAGCGATCCCAGTACAGTGTTGCACAACCATTTCAAGAACTGGGTCGGGCACATATTTGTAGTACGGTAAGTCGGTAACTCCACAGTTACAGGGCAAGTTATTGATGGCTTATCCTGACCACTTGGTTACGTGTATGCAAGTACTCGCCGTTGGTAAATGGTAAGATGAGAACAACTGAAATTATATGTCTGAGGCTATCCCCAGGACAACTACATGCCTGACAAATGTCTATTGTGCCTTCCTTCAGGATATAACTAACCCCGATAATTAATGATATATTAATATTATTATTATTCCTTTTTGTAGAGCAAAACACGGAGGATAGGCATGTTGCGTGTGTTATAGACATCTATTGACGGAGAGTAAAAAAAGTATCTTGTTGACACTTAGACTAGAATCATTTGTTATTCGTTTACTAAAATAAGAGCAGATGGCGCTGCTTAAAGACTCATGTTATTTTAGTTAATCAATAGATGGCGTAGTAACCTCCAAAAACATTTTAAAACTTCCAAACGTTTAGCGATATCGATGATAATAATAACAGGAAATCAACATGAACATAATTGCTTTAGAAATGGAAGTTAAAAAAATGATGCAGCTGTGAATTAATTTACATGTATTTTCGTATTAGAATTCTGTTACCAATCAAATTTAGGGCTTCATAAAAAAACCGTAAAGATCAATATCAGTAGATACACGTATCAAATAACGCCATATTATGTTTTTGGTGTATTTCCTGACAATTTGATATTGCGGTATATTTTATAGAACTAGCTGTCAACATTCTCAAGTATCAGATAAATAGACTCCAACTACTTAACTTTTAAGTAAAAAAAAGTTAAATTCTTACACTTTTAATTGACAAACAACATTACCCCGGATGGTAATACAGTTCTGTCTATGCCTCTATATTATGTACTCAAAATGTCTTTTTAATTGTGCATATTAAATAATCGGTCCTTTCGATCCAGAAAATAGGGACCGCTGTCGAAATAACCTGATTTTTAATCTTTTTTCTTTCAGTAAATGACACCTAATTTACATGGATTAAGCAATCTGTAGGTAGATTTTAAATGTAGAGCAGTTAATGGCAAGGTTTGTCAATAATTAGATTTTCGCGTACCCACCTCGTATTATAAGTAGCTTTTTGATCAAAGAGTTTATAATCTATACCTATAAAAATAATATTTGTGGGCTGGTTGACTAATTCTCAAACGCTATTATGGCCTGACTTTTTGGTCTATAAGAATATACTGTCTAGTCCTCCGATATTCCTGCTGTAAACAAATAAGTATATCAGATAATTAGTCATTAATTGACTAATCATGTGCCACGACCGCACGCGCGTTCATTTCGCCTCGTCATCACTCCTATCTCAAAGGCGATCACCGAATCAATTCACTCGAGCCAAATAATCGAATAGCTAATAATCGAATTTATTCTATTGTTCTAAATCCCCACTCTGTGGGTGGGCAACTGATTGCTCAGATAGATAACTAAATGGGTAATTATCCGTCACGGTTTTGCGTCCAACAAATAATCGTGTTTTGAGATTTTTGTTTCATCTACAACTCTTCCTTGTGTGCTTTTAATAATACAGGTTTAAATATGTATATATTATATATTCTCTTTTCTGAAAACATTTTAATGTAAATGAACATGGTAAAAAGCATGTCTTTGTGGTTGTACCTAGTTACTTTTAAAGTAGATGAATAAAAAAACATATTAAAAGACCCTCCAGTTTAATCAACTTAAGAGAAAGAAAGCTATGAAACATAAGAAATATATGGGAGATAATGGCCTTTTATTATAACTTGAAAAGGGTAAAAAAGAAAAGAAAATCTAGGCATTTTTGGAATAATAATAATTATCTCTTTAATCTCCATAATGTGTATAGTATTCAGTACACCTTAATGAGTATGTTTGAACATGAAATGATCGATGAAATCTCTGTAGCAATACCTAGCGTTAAGCAAATCTGTTAAACATTCACGCATAACACATTAAATGACAACAGATAAAATTCATTTAAATTAATCAATTTACTATTAACATCTATTATTTTGCCTACTCCAGTGACCTGACTTTGATTTTATGGTATGACTAGCTGGTACCCGTGACTGCGTTAGCCTTAGTGGTGTATTACGGTACGCGACTGCAGTCCATGTGGCCTCGGGTTTGATACCCGGACCATGCAAAATTTAAAGTGTTTTTCTGAGAGGAAAAATAGCCTAAGTTACTCTTTATATGGACGGTTACCTAGTAGTATCAAAATCGGTCCCGCCATTTTGAAGATTACAACACACAAACAGATAGACAGACACACAAAAAATATAAAAGTAACACTTTTTAAGCATATATATATCATGCAAATAATCGTGTGAGCATGTTAAAAGCCTATTATTTTGATACTACTAACAGGCACTTTTATTTATTTATTTATATCATCATCAATTTATCATCATCGTCATTCTTTCAATTTATTTAATTATAATATTTGTGTACATCATCATCATCATCACCTCAGCCTATGCTTGTCCACTGCTGGACATAGGCCTCTCCCAATGATTTCCAGCGGGGACGGATTTGATTTTGTGTACATAATTGATTAGATATTAGTTCATCCTCTGTAGAGGTATCAGTTATAATAATTTTCAAACTGCATAGTAAAGGCATAGACTACCTGTATATTTCGAATAAATTTTTTTTTGTCTTTTGATTATTTCTGGTTTATCTCACATCAAAGTTTTTGACACTAAATATAATCTAAATGTTTTAATAATTGCTTCAGTTGCTTGTAGTGAAAAAACTTCCGAAATTAACTCAATGGCAACGATTAATAATTGCCAGACTGGATAAAGACGATCACCGAATCGATTTGGCCGGACACCACTCATCAAAATTGGAGGCAAAATGGTGGCCGGCGCAAACATTTCAAAACTACGCAGTCTCCCAGAACAGTATCCTGTATTGCGGGGGATGATATCCTATGCAATAATATGGCCTGCATGCAGTATTACACAGGAATATATAGAAAACGAAACTTCAATAGATGAAATCAATTGGCCACGAGCAGCTCGCTTCGGTTTTTTTGGCGCTTTTTTCATGTCACCTGTATTTTACGGTTGGATGAAGTACTCCAGCCGCTTCTTCGTTGGCAAGAATCTTCTCACAGCCGTTAAAAGGGCAGCCATAGAGCAAGTGTCATATTCTCCACTTGCCATGGCGTACTTCTTCTTTGGTATGAGCGCGTTAGAAGGTAAAACGTTAAGTGCGTGTGTGAATGAAGTCAGAGAAAAGCTTTGGCCGACGTACAAGATTGGGGTTATATTTTGGCCGATGGTGCAGACTTTAAATTTTTATTTTATTTCGGATAAAAATAGGATTGTGTTTGTGAGTGCCGCTAGTTTTGTATGGACCGTATATTTGGCACATATGAAGTCGAAAAGGCAAGGAAATGACAAGCCCAAGTGAGACTGTTTTATTTATTGCTCTTCGGTACTGCGCGAGCGGCGTGGGTAAGGCAGAAACATTTTTTAATGTATATACCCCTATTCTTTTGCGTATGGGTGTTTCAAAGTTTTGTAAAAGATGTATTGAGAAGTTATGAGGTAATAAAAATATATAGAATTTGATCTCGTTTTGTTAAAACCTTATCCCTTTTTAGGCCTATGAGTAGATAGACATTTACTACTAGACTATGTTTAGAGAAAGCTTTGGTTCATTCATATTTTTAACACCGTCATTTGTGAGTTAATTACAAATTTAGGATTTGTTATTAATTAATAATTTAAATTTAATTGTATTGAGGGTTCTCAATTTACCCAGGACCAACTATCCCGAAACCCAATAATAACCGGGTTAATAATAAAAAATAGATTGCTTTCTTTCTTATTGAAGCCGGTGAAAAATAAATAGAATTTTACGAATTTGACTTATAGAACTCGAGATTAACGCCCCACAACAGAGCTTTTGCTGTATCACATTGAAATAATTGTCTGTATATCAATATGGTAAAGCACACATCATCACATCATCAGCCTTTAATGGTCCACTGCCGGACATAGGCCTACTATACCATGCTAGCCAGACGGGTTGGAATAGGGTTTGTAGACACAAAAACTAGACAGTTTTTCTCCTCTTTGCAGTGTTGAGCGTAGTTTGCTTCCTTAGTCATATCTTACGACACCCACGGGATGAATACAGGTGGTGACACTCCGTATTCTTAATCCGTCATCACACGGACAATAGAGAAGGTATATTATGTAAACCACTAATGTAATAAAGATTCATAGAACTAGTTTATTGTAAGCGATTGCCGAAGCTCGTGGATGCTTACAATACAACACGGATGGTCTGTGTAATCTGGATAATCTGTGGATTATAATAATTTGGCCAACAGAAGTTATCAAAGCAAACTATTTACATGCCTAGGTAACATTCCCATAGCTGTCGTCAGTTTCTCATAGTGAATAATGGTGATTATTATTTCCACACCATTGCCTTTAGATTCAACATGTGTGTGGCTCACAATTTCATTCACCAAAAGTCCAAAAAAACGCCAACCTTTAAAATGCATTCTTTATTTTTTATATACAAAAAGCGACGATATTATTATAATTAATAATTTCAATGATTTTAATGTGAATATTTCTATTGGACACCATTTATCACGTTTTGTCAGCGAGTCAAGTTAATGTGCGCGGGAGTTTGTGAGTGTTAGTTTTTTACTCTTTTTTTTTTATTGATGGAGCGTGTGGAATTAGAATGTGATATAGTTATGTTCAGTCCTTGGTTCGGTTTCTTGAAGTGATGTTTATCAGAACTTTGACAATAGGCCTTTTATTACTGCTTTATGCTTAGTTTTTGCTGAGATCAGTAGATTAAATTTAGATCGGAACTCAGTTAATTTTATCGCAAAAGCTTTTTTATTTCATCGTGAATTTTACCACTTGCTTTTTGGTTACTAAATGACCCACGGTTTGTCAGACTGAAAAACTTGTCTTGTTTGTGTATATGGCCGTGGGAACTTCGATGCCGCCCAATACACACTTCACGTCTTAGTCGGACATTGCCATGGACTTATTTTAAATTCTACCTTAAAAGGCTTGTAAAGTATAAGTGCACGACAAAGTCTATGAAATTAGAAATTTAAAGTTTTATTACAAACAAATAATCTGAAACAATATTTTTAACAAATAAGTTCCTTATTTATGAAAAATATTGTAGGAGATCTAACAAACAACCCTACCGTTGATAGAAAACATTATTAACTAAATTTTCGCAATATCACCTTATTTGTGGCTATTCTTCGGCTTTGATTATCTTTTTAGACTCGTGGCATAAGTTTGCGCTTTTATTATGTGCCATCATGAGGGCTTGGCTTCGGTACACGGTTTGGGCAAATTGCTACTGAGTTTTACCCCTTTTTTATCGGTGGCATGTCGGACTCGAACCGACTAAAACCGCACGCCGTCTCGGGTACTTATAGCCGGGGAACCAGGTATACCCTAGAAAGGAAGTCCCTGACATACCTCGGGCCATCTACAGACGAGTCGACCCCCCCCCCGTGTGGGAACCCCATGTTCCCTCTGCTCCCTGGAAGCGAGCGCGCTTCGCAATGCGCTCGCCGCCACCCCGGCCTGCTTTTGCTAGGGTGACAGATGGCCTCACCTGTCACCCCCAGGCCTGCGCTTATGGAGGACGGAGGTCGTTCTGCGACCTTCGGCGCCTGAGTCGCCTGCGGAACCTGGCTCGTTCCCGGGCCTGGCGGGCCGGGAGAGTTCTAAACCTCTCCCGGTCCCGCTCCGCCGTCTCCTTCGCGAGCATAACTTGCTCGCAGAAGGAGACGGCAGAGTTCCACGCACTCTCGCTCCACACGATAGCCGCGATCAGGCTATCGAGCGAGAGAACTCACTGAGTTTTACCCTCAGGTAATTCTCAAAAGTGGTGCATGGAGAGAATGACTCATTCTAAGATGTTGGACTAATACTGTTTCGGTAATTAGGATTAGGATATTGAGAAGTTGTATATATACATATTTACGTACATAACAGTATGAGAAATTTCGTTGCGCGATGCATTATTATCATTAGTCACTGCGTAGTTCGACTTGTGCTCGCTAGATGACGCTGAAGCAATTTTACCTCAAAGCACTAGGAAAATTAGAATTAGAAGAAAACCCGATTATGATGCTGAGTGCCTCAAAGTTACCTTAATGATCTATCGTTCATTTCGATTCGTATTATTTACAAAGAACGATTACATTCACAAGGAAGGTAGGAAATGAAGGAGTGCGTGAAAGAATCCTCTTTCGAGTGATCAAGAAGAATGAAATTTGCGTTTGCGTTAGTATGTTATCTCAAAATTTAAACATTATTTAGGTCTTTTAACATTCGTTCGCTTAAAAGGTACCTAAATTGCAAAAAAATATTTCTTTTTCTACAAGATATGTGTAAATTTTTGGTTAATAAAATATTAAGGTTGGAGAATATTATCCGCTCAAAGGTTTTCTGAACGAGATCATTGTAAGTGATGAAACTGTGAATAAATGTTTGTAACGCGTAAATATATATACAGAGAAATAAATATTTTTCTAGTAAAATTAACAGTTTGTTTAAAAAAATTGAATCATGCAATTCGCCTAAACATTCAAATTAATCTTTTTCACAGCTCCGATAAAACTATAAGTGCTATTCCGTTACAAAAACATTTGGAACAAGTCAATCACATCTAAAATGACAACTACCGTTTTGGCAATTTGCGTTCCGGCGCAAATTAGCCAAGATTGTCCCCACTATCTCAATCCATACACATTAAAATTCAACTGGCGAGTACAAGCCGATTAATTAGGCTGATAAAGCCGGTGTCGTATCGGCTTGCTACCGTCCTAACTTTGGCACAAAAGAGCCGAAACAGGTCCTTTTTCACTTAACGATCTCTCCAAGACGCTACCAAAAAACATTGCTAAAAAAATACTTTTACCTGACACGGGGAATGGAATAGAGATGATGGTACACCCTTGGCGTTTTATTATATTAATTTCACTTATAATTACTTGTATTCCTCAATTTAAATTAATTTTTCACATTCTAAAAAGATAATATCTTTTTAGAATGTGAAAAATTAATTTAAGTAATGTCACTAAATTTTATAAAAGAGTTTTTCCAATAGTCAAAACAGAAAGAAGGACGACAAAGAGTTGAGAGGAAAACTCGCCTAGTAGAACCTCGATAAAAGTTATGAGGATTTCTAGGAATGTTATAATAACCTGTATTCGTTTACCTACTTAGGTACTATATACGTGTTAGATAAATGTATTACTTACATAAAATATTAAATCATAGAGTTAACACTTAATTAATTTAAATAATTATTGTAAACGGAACCGGTTCTATTTGCAGAATTTATTTAAAGGAAACTAAAAGTGGCTGCAATGCTAATTGAGATACTTTATGCTAACCGTTAGGTATATCTTTTAAAGAGTCATTTACTGCACGTTATATGGACTTCATTTCAATTTAAATAGGAATAAAGTAATTTGATACACAATATTTAGTTATTCTCAAGCAGTCAGTCAAGCTTTTCTTCTTAATTATAAAAGTAGAAATATTTGCGATGATATTTACCTTTGGGATCAGTGATTGAAAATAAAAACTTAACTCATAAGAAATCTTTTGATAAACAAAGAATATGCTTAATGCACACAAATTTAGTACTGTTAGATAAGCACACACATATAAAAGTAAATCATCATAATAACTATACAGAGAAAGTAGACGAATAGAGGGTTTTTTATTAAAAATAAGTTTTAAGTAATACCCTAAGGTGGTTTTATCATCTTTATACACTTCCCAAAGTGAACTATTTCACGCTACATCCACAGAGGTCTATATTTTGTAAAAGATAAAACTGACCAAAATCACAAGGACATAAAGTGGGGTTTTTTGCCCACATCGAGTGTCCCATGAGTGTCCCATAGCCTGTCCTCACCTGCTACGGGCATAATTTATAGTTTTAGTAAAAAATCGAATCAGAACACTTCATTTATTCTCTGTAATAATCGATTTTATTTCTGACGATATATAATTAGTGTGAAATATGGGGTTCTGAAGGCATTTTATGGATTTTTTTTTATAAACAGGTACCAACAGGTAAATGTGCCAACATTTTAAAAAGGTTAGCAAATAAAATGTCTGATGCCTAAGGTTACGAGGTTTTTCTCATAGTAAGTAATACCCTTATAAATTTAGTAACCATGGAACACAGTAGATTGGATTCCCATTACCACTTTCCCGAAAACCCGGGTGTGGTCACTTAGTCTTCTGGTGAATACTTCTTGTAAAAATAGTAATGATGATAACAGTTATCTACTTAAAAGGCGCAAAACACTGAAATGTTTAACTACTATAAGTTTTTTAATCTACTTTAGTTTAGTTTAGTTCAATTGACATTTATAAAAACCTCTTAAAACT